AGAAAGAGCAGAGTAACAGACGAGACCAGATGAATAGAGACCCGCTAGAACAATAGCTGCACCTGGTGTTAGGAGCAGAGGAACAGAGCTGGCACGCGTCAACAGCACAGGGCACATCTGTTACCCTCGCAAAGTGGCCCATTCTCCCCCTCCTTCTCCACCAGCCTGTGTAAGCCATATGAGGTCTTTAAACATTCACAGCTTGACGTATAGCAACAAGTTTGAGTTCTTTCAAAGCTCCAGTAGTCCCCTTGCTCTGTCTTGCCTAGAAGGAGATAAATGACAGAAGGCTATCACAATCTGCCCCATAGAACAGGGGAATACCCTGGTTAAGAATGAGAGAGAGAGTGTGTGTGTGTGTCTCAAATTAAGTTAATGGAAGGCCCCCAAAGTCTGGGAAATCAAGGCACTTCTAGGCATATGGACGTTTCACTATTTCACAGGTTTGGTCCATCTCCCCTCCAATCCTAAATTTGTGTCACCATTCAAATGCACCATTGCCACTGACTGTCACTAGAGCAGAATGCCTTAGACTATAGGGCAATACATGCCTTTTAAAAAATAACTCACTTCATACTTGTGAAAACATCACTCTAGAGATGACTAACTTCTAAAAGTCTCGGTCAGTCATAGGTTTCATATCATATGTATATATGCTCCATCAACTTTAGAGAGTTTGTTGGTGAGGCAAGTATGCACAGGAAATTCGCAAATGCTTCTCTCTGTAAATGTATTTTAAACCCGTTCTCTACTTTTAAGTATGAGATTCTTACACTAGTTTTTTTGAGCTTGTCGTGTTTATGTTACCACTGCCATATTTAATTCAATAATGAAATATATTAAGAGAACTCAAAGTTTTATGACATTTTCAATAAGCACGGAAAAGCTCATCATTGAGTAAGAAGATCACTATAACATCAATAACAGCAACAACAAATATTTATTTTCTTCTTGAATTTATTCAACTTTTAGCCATGGCTATGAACCAGCAAAACTCAAAAAGTTATTTGTGAAGAACACAGATCCTAATTGGACCACGTTCTATTCATGGCACCAGTAAATGAATAGAATAAATGAATACTAGAGAAAAATAAAACATTTAAGGACTTTAACATGCAATTCCGTCATCCAAAGAAGTCAAAAACAGAGAATTTCTTTATAAGCTATGTATACTTTGAGCAGCATGATCTACAGAAGGTGCTGTTTTACTCCTTCCAACTTCCATCTGTATATGGTTGTAGAAATGTAATTTATTTGAAAGCAAGAAAGGCTTCATATCTATTACAGATTTTAAGCACCCTCCTTTTCCATTCAATACAGCCAACAGTTAAACTACCTAATTGAAAAGGAAGCAGTGATATTCCTACTAGAACTGCTTCATAAGATTGTGCTTTCCAGTACTGTATCAGCACTGAAAATGTGTTCCAAACTGAATGCCAGCATCAAAATGTTAAGCACCAACTCATCAGGGGATTGGAAGCTTTCGAAGTTCTGGGCTGCCTCATTTCAAAGAATCTTATACAGACAACTATGATAACAGTGTCATTCTAAACAGGTTAGAAATGTTTGTAAACAGTGACATGTATGTGGCGTAATGTAAAATAAACCACGTGTAGTTCACGTTTGATCAGTCCACACACTGTCTTGCCAGAGAAAGAAAATATGCCACACAGATGATCAATAAAGAATAAGTAGTTTACTCTCTGTAATTCAGAACAACATATGTACAATCATGTGATCAGTTGCATTAACTCACATAATGTCCTTTTAGAGAGATTTAAAATGGTCTTTCTTTGTCCATGTGGAGAATCTTCCTCCAGCAGCTCATGAAACAAGAGCACTCTCCAAACTGTCTCCCTCTGCTTCTCTGCAAGCATCTGCACAACACAGGCCTAAAAATGTAACTGTAACCAAAAGTCTCAGGCTCAGCCAGCTCCCTAGATGTAGCCCAACCAATCAGCTTTGTGCATCTTATTTTACAGTTGACACATACACACACAAACTGATTCCTTACATGCTCCAACAACGTGTGCCACCAATTCAAGCAGCTACTGCAGTTTCCAAGCAGTCTTCAGCCTCCCAGAAATGATAATTGCAGTAGTCCAGTGTGGGTATCACCAGCGGGTGGGAAACTGAGCTAAGATCATACTCTCCAGATAGGGACAAATCTGGTAAAAGGCATTCCCAAATCAGCTTTCATGGTTAGTGAGGAGTCTAAGAGAACTGTGAAATGTCACAGTTATCCCTTCATGAGAAATATAACTCTATCCGAAGCCAGTTGAAGATCTCAATTTTTTAAAAAGCTGCTTTTCCTACCCATGTACTACAGAAGACATCCTATATTTGTTGGAGGAACTACAGTATTCACTTTTCAGTACTGGAAGAAAATAACTATAAAACGTTAATCTTTGGGGAATTATATTCATTTTCCTCTCTTTAAGCAACAAGTATATAACTACACATTTTAGCATTTTGTAAACAGAAAGAAAAAATAAACATTCCCTAAGTACCCTGAAAATCTTTCAAATAAGCCACCAAACGCAAAAAAAAAACAACAACCCTATTTCAAATATCAGACTTATTACTTCTAAAGGACTACATTCAGAATATAGCTTTTCAAAGGTCTGGAGGCAGCACTACAAAGTTGAAGTTTCCTTACATTACACACACTGGCTTTTTGTATTCTGGCTAGAGCAGGTTTACAAGTTTTTACCATACTTCAGAGTGGACTCGGGAAAAAACGAAACTTTCCCAAAAGTACAAAGAGCAATACTATAGTATGTGCATGTTTTGCTGAGACTGCTACTCATTAAAACATCATCAGTGTTTGTAGACTAATGCCATGATTGATAATGTATTCATTCCACATCCAGAGGAGTTCTGAAAATAGTATAAAAGATAAAAGTTCAGTACCTAAAAGGGTTAGTAAAACTCCTCCATCATTTATAGCATTACACCTATTCATTCTAAATTCAACTACATATTCTTCCAGTTCTGCTCTTTCAAAGTTTTCATTACAAATGATATTATCTATCCCATAAAAATGTGGAAATCAACCTTGAGCCTTTGCTTCATTAAGATTATAATCTTCAGGAGAAGGTATGTCATGTTTAACCCCTTATTTTCAAATTCCTAGTTATCAAATTCCTGATGTTATCTTAAAACTAATGCCCCACAAACATGGCTTGTTTCCCCATTTATCCTGCACTTGTTTTCTGGCCTTTTCCTGGTGTTCGCCCTTCCTTACTTAGCAACCATTAGTATCCTGTACAACCTCACACTGTGAAAGCTTTATCTTCCAGATTAATTAAAGAGAGCTTATTAGCAGGGTGGATAGTCACAGGGAGAAAATGGAAACTGAATCCAAGCCACACAGATCTCCCTAGAAAGAGAAGATAATGCTGAATGTGACATGTAATAGCATAATATCTCAACACCAATGTTCCCAAGGTTGTGCTTTTTATTGGAATATTTACATTTATATTAATCATCAGAAAACAATATTGTACACTTCCCTATTGTGGATATGATTTCTTAGCAGTGTGGATTGAAAATGACCAAAAGGAGAGGAGCAGCAGAGACACCGGTGAGTCCTTTTCCCTCTCTGCTTAAACCAAGGAGAGGATAAAGCTTGTTCAATCTAAATGTTTCTGGGTTCAAGGCAGTAAAAGCTGTTTAAGATATGTGTGCCATTGTAGACATGTAGTACATTGTAGCTAGGGCATAGAACAATGGACAATAGAACAGACAGACACTGCAATTTGGTATTCAGAAATAGGAAGCCCCTAATAGCTTGCAAGAACCAACTACAGACATTCAACGGGGAATAAAACTTGCTACAGCCTAAGTGTCCTGCTCAATGTACAATCATTCAAGTCTCACCTCAAAGTTAGAGAATGAAGGAATTCAAAACCACAAAGAGAAAAATGAAAGTATACAGGGATCAGTATTTTAGTTCTGTGCCTTATTTATTTGTTTACCCTATTTATACTCCCACCTTTCTCAACCCCAAAGGGGACTCAAGGCAGCTTACACATAGGCAATTATTCATTTCCTTAAAACACATACAATTCCAATAAATTAAATGAAAATACATATTAAGCATTTAAAAACATTACATTCAATATTAAATATTAATACATATTTTTACAATATGCAATAATTTCCAATACTGAGATGTTGGTGACAGCTGGATGCTCAAAAGAAAATCCAAGTTTCTGTAGAAAATAAGGATAGACCTTGCAAATGATGACTTACAGAAGAGTACACTTTGCTGCATCACATACTGCACCAAAAGAGTTAAACACAAGCAGAATTACCAGCTACTTTCACAGTCCACCACACACAGTCCTACACAGGGATGCACAACCGCTAACAGAATGCAAGCAGAAGAAACTGAATATAGGAAATGTTATCATTGTGATGATTTAAAAGACAAAAGATCATGCTGGAGTTCAGTCTTTTTTATTTAAAAAAATCCCATTTAAGTATGTCAGCCATTATTATCCATAGATGCGAATAACCATTTCTCACCATGGAAGTGTATGGTACCACAAAATTGTTCTGCTCTTTCATTTCCCCTTGGACTATGAAATTGTGAAAGCTAGTGTTCCTCCCAAGGAATCAAAATAATAAAAAGTCGTTATGGCAGCCACAAAGAGGGGAGGCACAGATTCATGCTATTTGACTATGTTTCTCAGTCGCAAGAATCTATATACCAAATCAGCTCATCTAATGAAGTTTTGACACAGCAGAGGCACTGCAGTCAAACTGATGTGGGGAGGAGGTGCAGGGAAGAGAGGTAGCAAAGTACTGCATCTGTTCACATTTTTTCTTACACACATAGATGAACACACAAAGAGCAATCTAAAGAAAACCATGCTTCTGGTGCAGTTCAGCCTACAAAACATTTTTTCTAAATATATATATACATATATCCTCACAATCTCAACATCCAACAGCTTTGTTCAGAGAATTATTATTTAGAGGAGGTTGCTTACCGTATGCACCCAAGGGCCCAAGTAATCAGGTGGTTGTCGCAGACACCCAATTTCTTTAAAATACAAATAAAAAATGGTCTTCCTTTTGCGGCTCCTAATCCTCAAGCCGAGCCTGCAACCACCCTTCCTTCTCTTTTCATTAGCTGGACATGTGTCAGCTCTCTCACATCTGCGATTTCTCACTGACTTAGAGCCGCCTGTCCGGTTCCAGAGAAACACAGATGGATCCCAGATGGGAAGGTCCTGCCAAACAGACCAGCTCTTTACCTTGCCAGAATACCCAGATCTGCTGCGTATATGCACAAGCGCATGCACACACACACACTCCCTCCCTCCCTCCCTCCCTCCCTCCCTCCCTCCCTATCTAGCTCTCCTTTGCTTCTCTGTCTTTTGCTCTCTCTGTTACCAGGGCTCTTTGCCAGCTGATGTCATTAAGTACATACCTACCGGTGGCTTTCTGCTACTCTGACATTAATATGCGAAAAGAAATATAATTTGTATATGACCAGCAGTAAGAATGACATTATGCTAAAACTACTTAGGAGCCATAGTGAGCCAGAGCCCCAAAACTATGACCACAACACATATTGACACTTTCAAAAGCCCCATTGTCTTCTCCTTTTTAAGGTTCTTACCAAAGGAGAAGGACTTCAATAAAACATACCAGCAAAATTCATTGAACATTTAGATCCATTAAGTGGCTCTATACATACATACTTACATATATACATACAGCCATATGCTGACATGAGCTCACTCTGTGAGACGAACCCAACCATCAAAGCGAAATGGGGTTGTAGTAAGGCAGTAGGTATGTCACATTACTATGCCAAAGCACAAATGAATATAAGGAGCTAATTAAATGGAAAAGGATGGATCAATATGACTGCAATTCACGCCTGGCTATTGGACACAGGAAGCATTTGGGCACACCATAGTTAGAGGTCTAAACAATGTGTGTGTGTGTATACACACACACACACTCATATACACACAACACACCAACAATAGGGGATCTCTACTTTCCACAGGCTACTCCCAGCTACTCTATTATGAACTTTTCCCAATTTTGTATTTTCCATATATTTTAAACTGCATTTCTCATCCTTCTCATCCATCATTGCCAATGGTAAAGGAGGATAGGAACTGCAATCCAGAAGAACCCTGGAAGCTAATTCTTAGGAGGAGAAAGATCAAGATTTCTTGTATTTTAGACAATTCAGCTGATTTGCTAGCTATCTCTAGTTTGAGATAAGTCAGACTTTATGATAAGCATTTATTCTTTCATTTCACTTGTATCCCACCTTCCTCCTGAGTTGGAATTGTAAAGAATCAATTAAAAATGTAACAATAGCATTTTAGAAACAATTACAATTGTCACGTCAAAACAGTATAATTTATTTAAAAGGCATATAAACGTTAGGCCACATACCACAATAAGAAACCTCCCTGCTTACAAATTGAAAGTATTGTCATTGTGTACCTTCAAATAGTTTTGACCTATGACAACTCTAAGGTGAACCTGTCATGGGGTTTTCTTAGCAAGATTGGTTCCAGATTGGAATTTGCCTTTGCCTTATTCTGAGGCTAGAAAAGTATAACTTGCCCAAGGTCATCCAGTAGATTTTCATGGCTAAGCAAGGATTCAAACCCTGGGCTCCAAAATTGTAATCCAACACTCAAAGCATGCTTGCTTAAACAAAAGGTCTTTGCCTCCTGGCAAAAGGTTAGCAAGGAGAGGGCCAACTTAATCTTCCATGGAAGGGAATTCCACATTATGGGTGGGTCCTCACTCATGTCCTCACCAATGAACCTGTGGTGGTAGGACCAAAAGAAAAATTTTCTCTTATATTTTAAGACTCTGATAGGTGTCTATAGGGAGATTATCTTGACTTCAGTCAGCTGTCAGTTCTGATAACTGCCATACATTATAACACTAATTGATGTAAAATACTACTATCATTTTGCTTCATGGTTTTAGGTGGTTAGAACATGTTACTCTGACATTCTACATTAATTAGCAGCTTCCAAGGTCAAATTAAGATTATGGATGGCTTGGAAGCTATGAAACTGAGAGATTACCTTCTATCATACATATTGACCATACTCAATAGAACCTTCCTTAAGGTGACATGGGGCATGGAAAATGACTAGTAGGAACAAGGCCTTCTTGGGGGTTACACCATTGTTGTGGAATGCTATATCTGAGAATCTCAGCAGAACTACACAGCTTGATATCATAGGCAAAACTTGACTTTTGTAAAGTATCTGAACCAATGTGCTTGTTAACTTTTCCTTCATTTTATTGATGGTTGGATTCTTATCAACATTTTTCTTTAATGTAGATTTGTGTTAATTTGCGTTTATATTGTTGCATGCATTGTGGCCAAAATGTATGATAGAGTTTACAAGAAAGATAATTTGAATGCTCATGAACTGTTATGTCAGCATAAAGATTTTACGTTGAAGTGCACTGCCCTGAAGAACCAATGGTGGGATGCACATTCCTAAAATAAAATGTGGGCTACATAAATATGCATATATACATTGCATATGTCTACCAAAGACTTCATGCATCTGATGAAGTGACCAGACCCTTTTTGCAAGACATAATTAAAGATACCCTCTGGAATTCCACAAGCCTTCAATATTGAAAACAGATTTCATCTTAGCTTGCAGATTTCTAAGAACTTGGATTTGGAGAAGCTGTTTGGAAAATTAGCCTGTTAATTTCTGAAGCCTTCCAGGAGTATGCAAATCTTTCCTGTAAAAACTCTCTCATACATTTTGGCCACAATGCATGCAACAATATAAACTTGGCATATGTTAGCAATTAGAAAACAGCACCTCCTCCTCCTCCTCCCCCGAAAAAGTGAGGGAGGAAGGGAAAAAAATGATAGAGTTCTGATGTTGCAGAAGCACTAATCTAAATATGGAAACCCCAACACAGGAACTGAATATTTATAAAAGGCAAGTTCTCAAGGACTAAGGGAAATGTAGGGGGCAATTCTCACAGGCCAAGACAAAATCTCACTGTCCAAGGGAATTTAGGAGGAAGCAAATGTAAGGGTTGAAAAGAGGTAGACTGTGCAGAGAGGGCAGCCAGCATTAACCAAATAAAATGAGTTAAGCAGACTCATGGATTTAAAGACATTTGAGTGTGCTTTAGACTTCTAATCATGATCAAGTACTTTGGCTAAGATTCTTGAACTGCCATCAACAACACTATATAACGAAAGAGAATATGCCAGTCTCCAAAATAGTTTCAGGAATGTGAAACCTAGCCATATGATGTTTGGAATAGAGACTTGCAGGTTCCCTGGGAGTATGCATCTCAGCATTATTTTATGCTGGATGGTCTACAGTATCTTCATTACACATTGTAATTGTTGTTGTGTACTTTCAAGCTGTTTTCGATTTATAGCGAACATAAGGCCAAGCTATTGGAGTTTTCTTGGCAAGATTTGTTCAGAGAGGATTTGCCTTTGTTCCCTACTGAGACTGAAAGAGTGTAACCTGCTCAAAGTCATCCAATGATTGTCCATGACCAAGCAAGGATTCGAATCCTGGTCTCCAAAGTTGTAGTCCAACATTTAGATCCTTAAGTCATCCTTTGCACATTTGGCAGTTCTAATCTACTATACAAATAAGGTTGGAGGCAGACTTGGGAGTTACTTATTTGTAGTCAAGTGCATATGCTGCTTCCCTCTGTAGATCCCAAAGTTTTTCAAATCATTTGGAGGAGGTATGGATTCCTGGTGACTGTTATGTGGAGGAGAGAGAGTGATGTGAGAGAAAGGCTCATTTGGCAACATGAGAGAAACTAATGGGAAAGGAAAAGAGGAAAAGGGGAAAAGGGGGAAGAGAAGAGAATAGAGAGAAAGGAAAAGAACAGAAGGGAATGTCAAAAGGATTTTGCATTCAGGTGAAATTCTGCTCTCTTGGTTCTCAAGAAACTTCCAGCACCCAAAGGTAGTTTCTTAGATTGCTGTTGTGTTCCTTTGGCATTTCCAATGTATGATGATCTCGAAGCAAACCCATCACATGATTTTTGGCAAGATTTGTTCAGAGCGGGCTTGTCTTTCCTTTCCTCTCCTCCAAGGCTGAGAGATTATTACTTGCCCAAGTCCACCCAGTCGGTCTCCGTGGCCAATGAATTAAAATAACATACACATAGGGATGAGTATAAACAGATCATGGTCCAATTGTGAAAATTTCTGAAAACTTCTCTATCATTTTAAATTTGTATTCACAATAACTAAGCAACACATGCACCAATTCTTGCTTTGGTGAATTCCACATGGTGAGGAACAAGATTTTAATGGAGGAGAAGATGTTCAGGACACAATCTACTTTCTGTCAAAAGCATTAGAAAGTACATAAAACATGTAAGATGCAGACCAATCATGGCCACAGCCAAGACAAACAGGAGATATAATCACCTTACATCTTAATGTGTCAATGGTAAACACCCTCAGGTGACATTTGATAAAACAAAGCATGTGGATTTAATTTGATAAAAAGAACACAAATAATTGATTCAGAAAGGTTATTGAAGACAAAAGAGAGTTTTCCTTTAATAACCTTCTTATACAGTATACAGCTAGCCCCCTATATCCATGGGGGATACATTCTCTGTCTTCATGTGGATATGCAAAAACACCCTATTGAAAGAATGAAGATCTTCTGACCCAAGACAACCAAGACGGGCCAGAGGACCTAGAAAATGCCTAGAGGACATATTTTTAATCACATATATCTGTCTCATGGATACAGAGGTCATACTGTAATTTAATGTGTTGGCATTCCTGCATATGTATATGAAGATAGCTGGACTAGTGCAGAGTAGACTTATCCTTTAAAAATGTAAGAAGCTGGTTTTCTACCTACAATAAACCACTAATTCTCTGAGATGTGGTTAACATTTTCCAGCTACTGGCAAGGCACAATTTTTTGCAACATCATATTATGTCAAAAGAAGACAGCAGGATGAGGAGGGAGGACAGGCAAAACCAGCTGTCCTCATTGCTGTCCAGCACAGTTTGGCTGCACAGCATCAGCCTAGCAAACCAATGTTCCATTTTATTACCATAAACTTTCCCGAATCCCTGGTTGCTATTCAACCAGCTAAACACATTCCTATACACACTTCATTTGTTTCTGTACATGTGAACACAAACACTTTTCTTAAACAGAATCAATCAACCCTCAATCCACATTGAAAAGTACACAAAATTGCCTATTTTTCTCACAACTTTTGTATGCGCCACACAAGCTATACACTCAACCTTGTTTCAGGTGCCAAAAAACAAC